ATTTGCTTCGTGCAATGATGATTGTCAGCTTCCTCATATATTCAGCTAGTATTATCCTACCAATGTAATGGCGAGGCAGTTCCACTATTTATAGAGCAAGGTGAGTAATTGTTGAGATATGCAGCCAACATTATGTAGAATCATTTACTGGTGTAGAATATATGATGTTGTTGACAAATATCTATGCCCATTTGTTTCATCCTTTAATCAATTTCATCACTTATGTAATTAAATTCAGAAATGACACATGATTTTCTTCTTCAACAGAGATTTAGGCATAATATTTTTAAAGTAAAAATTACAATATTTACAATAACAAGATAAATATTGAATATCCCTAAGATAACAAGACATTTTTTGAGATAATCGATAATAACATAACAGATCTTTTGTTTCACAGTGCATCTCGTGCGGAAGATGTTATGCCTCTGTGGTGGTTCTTCTGTCTTTAGGGCCAATAATAGTCGTCGCACAACACATGAGAGTTATTCCCCATCATCATCAGGATCCAATCCACCATCATAGTCTTCAGCATTGTCTTCTACCTCCTCGTCTTCGTGATCCACCATATTTACAACACTTCTTTTAAGGCACTGATTAGATCGATGACCAGGCTGTCCGCATCTGTAACACTTGATTGGGTTAGGTTTGGCATATGGGTTCGGTGGTGTAGTCTTCTTTGTTGTTGTTATCGCTGGACCCTTTGCCTTCTCCGTTGTAGCATCTTGAACAGGAACAGTTTGAGACTGCCATGATTAAAGCTCGTGCGCGCTTCGGAAGCTGCCCATGATCCTTTACTATTTTGTCCGAGTTGGCACTCCACCTTCTCGGATAGGCTAACCGTGTCTGCTAAGGTATATATGTGCTGCAAAGATACACGATCCTGAATCGTCATCCTTAATCCTCCTGTATATCTGGACATTTGTTGTGCCTCGCTCTCGTTTAAGTTGTTGCAGGATGACAGTCGATAGAACTCCTGCATGTACCCATCCACAATTCTTCCACCTTGCTTACAGTTCTGGTATTGTCCAAATAAAACTTGTTCATAATCACTTGGTAAGAAACGGGCTCTTAGTAGTTTCTTCATCTTTTCCCATCTATCAACCTTTGGCTTTCCTTGACGAGATCAATTCAGACAAACAGATTCCCACCAAGTTGAAGTTCCACCTTTGAGTCGGTAGGCCACCAATTTTACTTTACGCTCTTCTGGAATCTCCATATACTCAAAGAATCTCTCTACTTCTGCAATCTAGTCGAGGAATTCTTCGATATGAAGTGACCCGTTGAAAGATGATAGATCCATCTTCATCTTGAAACCTCCAGCGTCATAATTATCCATTCATCGACGTTCTCTGCGATAAACACCATGGCGTAGGGCTGTATAGTTATATTCCTCGTTGTCGGATTCATCATATGGAGTCGGATCACGTCGTTGGCGACCATCAACGTGATTTTGAACTCCCGTCGTGTTCAGACGTCTACTGTCGCCGCAAGTCGCTTCATGACAGTCTTTATTTGATTAACGTCGGTCTTTAGCACGTCAAACTCAGTTCGAGTAATAGGGGCTTCATCACCTGCCATTGGATCGGATGAACAAGTCTCTAATGCAAATTGACGCAGCGCGAAAGTAGTAGCCTCGGAATCCACCAAGGTCAATTTCGAATCCACAAAGTAAAATTGAAGAAAACATAATTTTATTAATTAAAAGTTATGCCTCTAGGACTTACAAGACTTTACTTAAATAGAAAAAAAAAGACTTCTACAAGGACTCAAACTCCTACAAAGACTCAAACTTACCAAAAATAGTAAAAGAATTTCTAAATATTAAAACTCCTAAAAAGACTCCTTATGACTAGCAATGTCCACCGGTCAAATCTGAGATCAAATTCGTATTTGTTTCCTAATCAATACAGACTCTTAAAACATTACTAAAAATAGTAAAAAACGGACAAAATGCAGAAATCTCTGAAACCGTAAGGAATTTTGGTGAAACGGAGGAAGCAAACCGAATCCTTAAGGGTGAGTTTGGATGACTTCGTCTCGTCAAGATAGTCAATTTTCATATATAATTCGTCCAATTCCGATATATGGTTTGAAAGTTATGACCGTTTCTTCGTAGCAAGTTATTTTCCTCGATCGGGCCCGCGTTTGAGCTTACGACTGTCCCACTTTGACATAAACATGTCTGTCATGTGTTCTACATCATGTTGAAACAAATCCAAAAAATGGGAAACAATGTTTTACAACCTATGATTTCAAGGTGAAACAAACCAAATAAATCAAATATGAAAACCCCTCCGAAATGTACTGAAATGATTTTTACCATGGTTTTGTGTGTTTTTTTTTAAAGAAAATGTACCAAACACGCCCTTAATGTTAATCCCTCCATTGGGTGCCCGATCAAGTAACTCACAGGATTGTACATAAAAATTCGAAGATTAAAATTAAATTTTGCCCCACTAACTGCCTGCTCAATAGGCAGATAACAATGGGTAATTTTCGAAGGTAATTCTCCATAAATTTATTTTTTTTATTCTCTCAGTGAAGACTGGGGATGGACAACATGCAAACTTGTCGTTGTCTCTGTCTTTTAGCCAAGCAGCAGCCATTCTCGCATCAGCAACAATAAAATAATAGCGTCAATAACTTTAATTATGGACCGAGAAGGAACTGCCTGCTGGGCATTAAAACAACAGTTTTAATATTAAACAAACATGATTGAACAATCGTGCACATGGTTTATTGACCGGAAAGAGAGAGAGAGAGAGAGAGATGGGAGGAGGAGGAGGAGGAGGAGGAGCAGGGGGTCCCTTGTTTGAGAGCAGAGGAGCGAAGGGTAGATTATGGTACAAGCTTTACGCTGCTTCTGTTCTTGTTGGGATTTTCTTGATTTGGGTGTACAGAGCTATCCACTTACCAAAGGGAGGAGGAGGAGGAGGAGAGGGGAGATTGATTTGGATTGGTCTCTTTGGAGCTGAGATTTTCTTTGGTTTGTATTGGATCCTCACTCAAGTAGTCAGATGGAACCCCATCTACCATCAAACTTTTAAGGGCAGGCTCTCAAAAAGGTAACACCTCTCTCCCTCTCTCTCTCTCTCTTCATGGTTTTCTTTTTTTAATTAAATAAAATATATCTTGCCACGAGCCCCAGTGTTTGACCCACATGCCAAGGGAGTGGATCAGCTTTTACTGGACAGTCGGTCATAGTTTCAGAAAAAGAAAAATTAAAAAAAAAGTCTGCTTAGACCACCAGCAGTCCAGTAAAAAATAAAAAATAAAATACTGGAATATCGGTTGTCCAGTAAAGAATAAAGCACCGGATAACTTTCATTTTGCGCACCTGATATATTGTACATGGATACTTTTAATATACTTCTGGATCAGTTCCATGGGAAGTAAAGAATCTAGAATGCTGCTATATATCAATGTATGTGTGGCGACACGGTTACTTTTAATATACTTCCAGTTGTCTGGTAAAAGAATGCAGCCATGAAATGCTTGTATAAATGCTTCAATGAAAAGAAAAGCAAATGAAATAAATGGTTGAGTGCGCTTTAATACCGTAAAGTTTCGTTAGTTTTTAACTGTGACATTAAGTTTGAATTTGCCCAAATAATATCCTGAACTTTCAGAAACTTTTGCATTACTACCTTCTTTACATTACTGTTCAAAATTTGATTTAAGAAGGACATATGATTTATGATTATCACGTGATAATATTTGGATTTAGGGGCTGATTGGTTCGTGGATTGCATTTTAATGCTTGTAAGGGATTTTGAAAATTTTATATGCAAAATCTTGTTTGCTTTCAATGAATATTAAAGAGTGTTTGCATGATAAAAAAAATCCAAGCCGAACTTTGTTTGGTTGCAGAAGAATTTTGTTGAGAATATGTGACTAAAATCACAAATCCGGTTGAAATCAGCATAATTTTAGGGAATTATATTTGATGCATCTATCGTACTTGGTAACCTCAAATCCGTAGTATAAAAAATGTCAAACAAACAACGTATTTATGAAAAAACACGATTCTTAACTTGTGGGTCCTATTTTTTTAATGCAAGGTCACTACGTGCATGGAAGCAAATAGCCCCTATATACCTCTTAAACTGAAAATAAATCCCTCCAAATCCTTCTCTTCCTTCTTCCTTTCAATTTGAATTTGGTATTGAACTGTAGCAAAAATTATCCCTGTTTTACAGTCATCACAATGAAAATTAAAAAGGAAGAATTACAAGAAAGGATTAGAAAATTTTAACAATGATGTAGCAGAAGGTATTAGAAAAAGCGTGAAACTATTCGGCATCTGTTACTCCACTGTTTTGTATGTGGTAGTTTAAGGCCCTGTAAGGTAAAGGCTAACTTTTCGCATGTATGCACAAGTTCAAACTCCAAAGTACAGGGAGGAAATTAATGGATTTCAGTTGTAAAATTCATCTATAAGTGTCTAGAAGTCGTCATTTATATCATGAGTTTTGCAGATTTCTAGCTGAAACTTTTTGATAAACTCGAGTACTTTCCTTCAATTCAATTCCTTACGAAAATTATCCTCAAATATGGAAACACAATTACAAACAAATGGAAGTTATAAACTACTTGCAATCTAAGCATCTAGAGACCACCACTAACTCTCAATTTATTTGCATTCAAATTCAGATACGAGAATGATCTACCTCCTATCGACATATTTGTATGCACTGCAGACCCCACAATCGAGCCTCCAATGCTGGTGGTTAACACGGTCTTATCAATGATGGCCTTTGACTACCCAACAAAGAAGTTGAGTGTTTATCTCTCTGATGATGGTTTCTCTCAGTTAACATTCTATGCTCTCTTAGAGGCAGCTAGTTTCTCCAAGTTCTGGATCCCATACTGCAATAAGTTCAAGGTTGAGCAGAGTCCAGCTTCATATTTCTCTTCAGTATCTAATCTCACTGAGTTCTATAGTGCTAATGAATTTTCAGCCATCAAGGTTATTTTCCACTGAGATTATCTATGTTTATTTACTACATTTTGGGTTTATCATAGAAACCACCTAATAGGGTGACAATATGGAAGCCACCTCTAAAGCTCAATTAATGCAAAAACCACCTTTAAAGGAGGTTTCGAACGCAATCAACCACCTTGTCCTATTTTCCACTGAAATGTAGATTTAACTCCCCAAAATACCCTTAAAAAATGCACGCGTCAGGCCCCCAAAATGGTTAAGAAGACATGTCATGTGCCTATGACGTGTGTTTTAAGGGTATTCTGGAATTTCAGTTGATTAGTAACAGAAGCCTCTTTAAATGTGGTTTTGTATTAATTGAAATTTATAGATGGCTTTCATGTTGTCAGCCTATTTTAAAGTTAGCGTCTGCGAAAAACCCTTAAATTTTTCTAGTTTTGTAATTGTATTGTGATTCTAGAAATTGTACAAAGAGATGGAGAGTCGATTAGAAGCCACAATTAGATTGGGGAGGATTTCTGATGAGCTTGCAAAACAACAGAATGGTTTTAATGAATGGAGTTCAGAGTCTGAACCCAAAAATCATCATCCAGTTGTGAAGGTTAGTGTCCTATGTTCAATAAAACATATTCCTCGGTCTTGATCCTTCTGAAGTTTTCTCAAAAGGCATCATTATTTAACAATTTAGTTTTGAGGGCATTATTATTTGAACACTATTAAGTGAATCACAACTTCGTTGAAAGATGATCATTTATATTGAGACATATATTGTTGAATCATTTGAAAACCAGAAAATTCCACATTGGAATAACTATAAGACATTAAGCAACCATCAGATACCGAGGTCTTGTTTATATAGTTAGAGAACAAATTGTTAGGCCTTAGCATTTTCACTTAACATTGCTTTTAATTGAGAATCAGTCAAAGGCTTGCTATACATGCATGAACAAAACTTTCCAAGTTTTGCTTCATAATCTCCAGGGAGATTATATCAAGATTAACAAGGAAGAACATGAATACATTTTTACCCCTGAAAAGAAGTAATAAATCTTAAATTTCTATGATGTATTAATCTTCTTCATATTAAATATACAGTGGAATTACTATCTTGTATAGGTAGAAACATTCTTCTACTGCTTGCAAATATTTAATCTAAGCATGTACTTTCTGTTGATGATAAGCATGTACTTTCTGTTCTTTGTTTTTGCAAGTATCGTCTCTATACAAGGTTGGATTATAACTACACTTGTATTAATCATTATTCGATTATTCTCTATTGATTTGATTAGGTAATTTGATCTCTTTCAGATATTAATTGATGGAAGAGACCCTAAAACTGTGGATGTCGAAGGGGTGTCACTGCCAACTCTTGTATATGTCGCTCGTGAGAAGCGACACGAATATCCACATAACTTTAAGGCTGGGGCTATTAATGCATTGGTAAGCTACCCATCAAATATGTGCATGATCTATGGCCACAATGTATGAAATATTGTTATCTTTTTTATGATATGAATGTAGAAATATTCACATTTGAGAGAATAAATAATCTTGATGAAACACTATCAAAGCATCACTGATTTATTTCTCCTTGACCTGCATAATTATAGAAGGTCTCTCATGTTGACAATATCATGCTAAGATAATCTAGGGCATAGTCTATTTATTAAATCTATCATAATTTAATATGATGACCTTGCGAATAAGAATAAGTTGTTCTCTGGATATGAGGCCGTATAGTTTCTTCAAGGATAACAACTAAAGCCAGGCAATTTCCATTTAGATATAAATTAAACCAAAATTAATGTTAGGATTTCATACGGCGGAGAATATATAGGATATCACATCTCATTTAAAAATAATAATTCCAGAAGAAAAAGGAAAAGAAAACAACCTTAACGACTTCATTTTCTGTATAATAGAATTATTTTCATGACTTAGCCATAAAAGGTAAATACTCTCAGTTTAAAAATCATTATGAATCAGTTATCATATTTTGTAGCATATGAGAACTTAAACACCATCATTTCGTTTCTAGCTAACCTTCAAATGAATTTTGCAGATAAGAGTGTCCTCTGAGATAAGTGATGCACCTTTCATACTCATCGTGGACTGTGATATGTATTCGAACAGCTCCCAATCTGTAAGAGATGCAATGTGTTTTTTCATGGATGGAGAGAATGGACATGACATTGCCTTTGTACAGTTTCCTCAGAACTTTAGAAATCTCCATAAGAATAACACCTACGGTGATTACATAACAATTGTTAATGAGGTCAGTAGTGACTGTTATGTGCTAGTTGACTTAAATATTTTCTTTTAATTTGTTTATTTGTCATTATGGTTTTTTTGTATGGAGGATAGCACTTCGAGATTTGTAAAGAAAGGGGTCTCGAATTTGATTCTTAATTTCTTACATGGCTGTAATATTGACAATAGACAAAGTTGCCTTATTTCTAATTAGATAACAATTATATGGACAAATAAATTAGGTTTAGTAGAAATTTCCTATGTTTTTGTCTTAAAGTGCAAATGACTTGCATCGAAAAACTTGATTTTTTATTGCACCGTTGCAGAATCTCTAATCGCAGTTGCATTAAAAGGTTCTCAATATTCTTCTTTAACACTCTATATGTTGTCATGTTTCTTGACTATATAGGATTGAATCATAAATTTCTATGTATTGAATTGATTAACTAAGAAAAGACAGATGTTTAACAATTCTAAAGATTAAGGAAAAGTCAAAAATCAAAACTTGCTTTCAGATTTCTCTCAGAAAAAGCTTGATTCCAGATTAGAATTTGATTTGTTTAAAGTTACTACTTTTTTATTATACGTTTGCATCAATTCCCTGAAACATTTTCAATGTTTCTTGTCAAGAAGGTAGAATATCCTGGGTTTGGACAGGCTATGCTTATGGGCACAGGTTGTTTCCATAGACGAGACAGTCTATGTGGAAGAAAATATGGCAAAGATTATATGATAAAACAGAACAATAAAAATAAAATAAATTCAGAAGAGAATGCATCTGTACAAGAAGCAAGAGCCAAAAGCCTTGCTAGCTGCATTTGTGAGCAGAAAACAGAATGGGGCAAAAATGTAAGATTTCTCAATCTCAGTTTATCTTCCCTCCATCTCATTAGACATTTCATTCTTTAATATTTTTATGTATATTACAGATGGGTATGATGTATGGATGTCCAGTGGAGGATGTGATAACTGGATTATCGATACAATGCAGAGGGTGGAAATCCATTTACTATAACCCCCCAAGAAAGAGTTTTTTAGGGATGGGTCCTTTGACATTAGGACAGTTTTTGGTACAACACAAACGATGGAGTGAGGGGCTTTTTCAAATATTTCTCTCTAAGTATTGCCCTCTTGTTTACGGTCATGGGAAGATCAAACTTAAGCTTCAATTGGCATATTGCTTATACTTGCTGTGGGCTCCAATTTCCTTGTCGATGTTGTATTATGTCATTGTGCCTTCTCTTTGCCTCCTAAAGGGAATCCCCTTGTTCCCGAAGGTACATGCACATGAGCTCACATCCTTCTTTCTATCAAATTGTCTTTTAAGATTGCTATTTCTAATGCTCAGCACACTTGTCATCCTCTTCAAGTTTGAGATCTTTTTTTTTCAGAATTTTTTTTACAATATATATTCAGAGATACAAACATGCAATAATATATTAATTCTCAACACTAATGCAAAACTTGTCAATTACTTCCTTAAAGATCATATGCAAACATAATTCCTGCAAAATCGGTAAAAGAAAAGTATAATAAAGTAAAGTATCCCATTCCATGATTTCATATATATGAAGCTCCATGAAGTTAATTTAGTATTTCTATATCATGGCAGATATTAAGTTTATGGTTCATACCTTTCGCATATATCATTACCGCAACACAAGCTTTCAGCTTACTCGAATGTCTTCGCTGTGGAGAAACCTTTACAAGCTGGTGGAACATGCAAAAGATGAAAATGATGAGAAGGACAACCTCGTACTTGTTCAGTTTCATCGATACCACCCTCCAACAATTAGGCCTTGGTAACTCAGGCTTCATCATCACTGCCAAAATCGCCGAAGACGAAGCATTAAAGAGGTACGAGACAGGAATTATTGAGTTTGGATCATATTCTCCGATGTTTGTTGTTTTAGCCATGATTGGAGTTCTTAACTTGATTTGCTTTGTGGGAGGCTTTGTTAGTTCTAGTGAGAAGGTTTGGTTGCAGTTTTTATTATGCGGGGTGTTGGTGATGGGCAATGTGCCAGTTTATCAAGCATTGTTCTTTAGGAAAGATAAGGGCTGCCTTCCTACTTCAGTTGCAGTGCAATCGGCTCTTCTGGCTGGATTGGCTTGTGGCCTTTTCCTTCTGTAATTGAATGATTTTGAGATGATTCTTCACTCTGTATAAAGTTGAATTTTTTTGAGAAAGGAACGACATGGTTTCTATTTTACAGGTTCTGTGCAGAAAAAATAATTAGATTTCATGTTGGAATAGTCTTTTTCTTTATTAATCAAGTCTGTTCGACTTGAATGATCCACAATTTCACGTTCCCAGTATCCATCCCTCATGCTCGTACCGAGCTGAGGCTTATGAAAAAGAGAAGAGACCAGGACCTTCTATATGGCTTTATTACTCCTCTGTAGGTATTAGCTGTACATATGCCCTCTAGGAAATGTTATTTAAATTTGCACGTATTTGTTGCCATCCAGTTACTAACACTTTAGTTTGTGCTGGGTAAATGAGCTACATTAATCTTGGTATTTCAATCAAATTAAAGCATGAGTATGGTATTACAATCTTCATCTGCACAATTATTGTCACTTATTTCTGTCAGAATTCCTTTGCAGGTTCTCATACGTAACTGCTTTATTTGTCTCTCTCAATTTGATTTGGCCGTCTCTTCTAACGTATCAATGGAGAATCTTCTTTTTCGAAATCAGTTTGTGCTAGCTTCGACAAAACCGGCGTTGATAAATGATAGATGAAGGTAGCCAATGATGCTTTCTCTACGAATAAAAAGTTCGGTATAATCATGGATTCACAACAAGTCCAATATTTTTGTTCTTGACCTCAATGAACTGTCTTCAGCAAAATATCCCTCGAGTGTAGCTTCCTCCCTTCATGCTTGAGCCAACAAATTACGTTGTAAGATGAATCCTTCTACTTCAACTGTACTGACAGGAATACATGGCAATCAGAAGCACCAACTAGTATCGGATGGCTTGTGTATTCACCAATGGAAAAAACCAATAGGTAGCACAGTCATGCAGTTTAACACCTTTCAATAATCCCCCAAACCAACCTGCATTCCCCTAAGCACATATGTGTAGAACATGTGCAGATAGGAGCGATTTTCTAGCCGCGCTCGCGGCTCTGGCTGGGACATGTGCCCCCTGCAAGGACGTGCAGGGATATTTTGCGGTAATGATATGCGCTCCTCGTGCAGATCGATGGGCAAAATGAAGACATCAGAAATGGATTTTCATGTCATTTAGTCTGAACGACTTTTCCAGCGGCAAAATTAGCATAATTTGAGTTCGTCTCAAAGAAACAAACTTTGACACTTCAAACATAAAGCATTTTCACCTCCGTTTCTCCAAGGGTGACCTTCTTTTCCAGCAAAGTCTCAATTGGTGCTTTCGGCTCCTTGAAGATCTCGACATTGGATACAGGGGACAGATGCGTCACAACCATCACATCCGTGACTGTAAAACTACTAAATCTCTTCACAAAACTCCCTCCTACTTCTGTCCATGGCTTGGGCAACTAGGGGTTTATGTCAGTGGTATGTCCGAGTTTCTTTTCATCAATCCTGAAGAGAGAATTGATACGTCTACAATGAAAAGGAAGCTTAGGATCAAGAAGTTTATTCTTGCATTCCTCCGATATGATGCAAAATAATCAACACTTCAAACCTTCAATGCTCTTATATAGCTCATCCCTGGACCCCACGCTAGAGTTCTTGCTCAGAAGCCTAACAATTGCTCCGAGGGAGAAAGCAAGTAAGCTAAAAAGGAGATTTGCGAAGTTATCTTCGGCATTTGCAAACACTAGTGCTTTCAACGAGATTTATGCGTATCTTCTCAGACCCAGTTTGTGTTTAAAGTTTCTGACTTAACTGCAGCAATGTCTACGAGCTTATATCTTGTGGTATATATAGATTTCAGTTGAATCTGCCTTCTGAAGGAAGACATCTGTTGATGGTGATTTTGACTGAAGACACAAAATTATAGGAACAAGTAGAGGGTGGAGTGTCTATGTGATGCAATAGGAGGAGGTGAAAAATACATATATTAAGGAACGTTTCACACTTGTTTTCTTGAAAGCTTGTAGTGGGATGGAAACTCATCACCTCTTCTCGGCCAAAATTAACTTCTTTTCTCTCAAGAGCACCCACACTCTTAATATCGAACTTTTGAAACAGAGAAATGGTAGCAGCCGCTGAAGCCTTCACAACACGCAAGTCGTCACCGACGATGAACCTTGCTACTCCTCTAACAAACACGCCATCCCCAAGTTCACCCCTGCTAATTGGCCCCCATATCCACATAACCGGTTCATACTGAACTAATCTTTCAAGGAGCATCTATCTTCAACCCCTGAGCATCATGTCCACTGTTTTGAGGGGCTAGTTTACAGTATTAGTACATGTTTAGCAATGAGTGGCGTTATCGTAAATATTTAGAAAATTTAGAATGAGTGCTTGAGACTATAAATAAAAAAGAGATCACTCTCCTCTGAAATCCTATTTCAGTTTTTAGGGTAGCCTCCATAGAGAGAAGAGTAGGAGTGAGGGAGAAAAGAGTGAGATTACAGAGAGAGTGAGGGAGAAAACTGATATGAGGACGATAATGCCACTCATTGCTAAACATGCATGTACCATATTCTACCTTTCAAGGTTCATTTGCTAACATATTCCTTTTTCTTTTTTAGCCCCATATATATTTTTATCTCAATATTAGCCTCCTAAATTCTATTAGTATGTTAAAATAAGCCCCTCTAGTTAAAATTTAGTTCAAATTGGGAAATATTTTGTTTGGTTAATGTTTTCTGTGATTTTTTTAGCTATACTCCTCACACACAAACTCAAACTTTATTAACCACGTGAACTTGTACCCATTGTGATTTTTCTAGTTATACTCCTAACACAAACCCATTTTCCATTTCATCTTTTATAGTGCCTTCTCCGATGTTTTTCCCTAACGGAAATCTATCCGATGCAAATTTAGGATTAGAGTCAAGAGGGGTAAAACTAACAAATCACCATAAAAGTTATAATGAACAGAGTATTTCCCTCGTACAAGTGAGATTTTAACTAGGGGACTTATTGCACATGCTAATAGGATTTGGGGCTCTAAGATCAATTTCAAAGATTTGTAGGGATGATATCCGAATATTGGATATTTGGGGGGCCTGAGAGCAATTTCAAAGATTTAGGGGCCTAATATTGAAACGTTGAAGGCTTGGCGGGCCAATGCGAAATAACCCTTCCAAGTTTCAACCCTCATTTCCTCGCAGCTCATTTTCTTCTCCTCGTTCATCCAGGATAAATCAACAGGTAGATTTCCAATTTCTACTCAATCGTTTTGAAAAAACAACTTATCATTATTTTCATTCGAGAATGAATTTTTAAAGTTTGTCTGTAAATCTGAGTCAATCTTGCCATGGTATTGATTTCACTACGAAATTTCTTATTCTTATTTTTGTATCGTAAATTTAATAACCATTTGAATCTTTAGCCCCAAATATTGATTTGATGATAAAGTTCTGATCTTTCCTTTCTTTATTGTGATATTTCATCAGTTTTTTTTTAAATCTAATTGGAAGCTTTAACCTAATTCAATGCCGGGATCCAGAAGTGGGTTTCCTCTTTCCCCTTTTTTATTTCGTAAGGTTTCAAGATGACCAGAGATTTCGGAGAAACGCGATGGCCAAATGTATGTTCCCCCAGTAGTTTAGAACTTTAGGGAAAAGTCACCTCTCTTTGAGATATTTGATGTTGGTTTATAGCAACCTAATTTTGTTTATTTGCTAAAGGTTTTTGAAGTAGTAGTTATGATTTTAGATAGTTTACTGGTAACGACGTAAATGGAGTTAAATTTCTGAGAATTAACTGTAGATTAGATGGAAAGTGAGCCACTTCCTATTCTAAGAAACAGATCAGAGATATTAGAGCGAGACAATGAACTAAATTTATCTGTCTATTAGTTTCGCAGCAGCAGTGGTGGTCTATCCTACCATTTTTTTTCTACCATATCATTTTCTCTGTCGTGTTTCTCTTTCTCTGAGGTCATATTGGGTAGATTTTATTTCGTACGAAGAATTCTTTATAAGTGTTGAATGTTTAGAATAATTGTAGATTTGTGTCTGAATTAAGAGTAGGTCACAAGGATAGAAAATGGAGAAAATGCAAAAACATCATAAGGTTGCTTGATGATAAAATTATAACTAGGCATCCATATAGTTTGATTCAGATGGTTTTTTGGTATGCATAGCAATATCATTAGATCATTGAAATTTCTGCTGTCGATCCTCGTTGAATTTTCTGAACTCTTGAAATATAGTTAAGAGTTTGAAGCAGGAACAATGACTTAACTGATTTCTGAGGATAATGACATTTTCTATTTGTCTTTTTTTTTTTCTTGAAGGCTTGTGTAGACTCTTGTTGCTTTTCCTAGATGGCACTGAGTTTTCACTAAATATGATTTAGGTGTTAGATTTCTATAATGAACTATACCTAAATTGCTTTGTTATAGAACAAGGTACATCTATATTATCATTATGGACAAATTGTTCTTCCGCTTGCTGTTTATATTGATAACCATGTTGTCACTATACTTCTGTCATTTCATAGCATTTGTGTTTGCCTTTTTCTAGTGGATCAATTGGGGTTTGATCTGTTGAAAAATTCTTATCCTTCTATTTCAATGTGCATAGATGGACAGATCCTCCTTGAAGTTTGTAATTTTTTCAGTACTAGGCTTTCTATCTGGCCTGCAATCAACTGTTGGGATAAGATTTGTCATAGACAGGGAAGAGTGCTTCTCCCATTCAGTTCCATATGAAGGAGATAAAGTTCATGTTTCATTTGTCGTAATCAAAGCTGATACACACTGGCATTATGGTGATGATGGTGTTGATCTTGTGGTATGTAATCAAACCTTCTTTTAATATGGGCTTGTGCCTCTACTGATACCATCTTGACTTCGTTGAAAAGTAGGATTATTCTCTTTCACTTTTTTACTAGAATAAAAATATCTTACTATTCTAAATTATATGAATAAGTATTTCCTTTAGGGAGAATTTTTTGAAATAGATCATTTTTAAAATTTAATTAGTAAAATCGAATGTAAATTGTTTTAATTAGCAAAATAGGTCACTTTTTGGCCACATCTGCAAGGCTGGCAAAAAAAGTAGTCGCTTTTTCAAAATACAGACTTTGCAAAATCCAGGGACTACTAGTCCCATGTAGTTAGTGTTCACTAATTACAATCAAATGCATCATTTCCTGTTTTAACACATCATCACAATCACACATATATCATCAATGTGTTGTGCCCAATGCCACACAAATTCATTTCAAACGTACTCAACATAATAACTCAATAAACATTACAATAAAACCAAATACAGATGACAAAGAACAAATACATATTAACTCTATAGACACAAACATCGCAACCAAACCAAACCAAACATACCATGCTAATTTGTTTACAAACAAACTAAGTAGATAACATAAATAGAGTCGATACAAAAATCTGCAAATCTACACATACATCCTAGACGTCCTCTTCTTCCTCTCCCTCTTGTTCCCCAACCTTGTCCTCGTCCTCCTCCATGAACATGAGCTTGCATGAGCTCGACGTCTTCTTGCGTGTATGGCTGTGACTGGATATTAACATTTTGTTGTGAAGGTCCATCTTCATTGTCGTTTCTGGCTTTCTGCAAGTTCCTTCTTGTCATCTTCGTCGTTGTTGTCGACATGTGTATAAAATATCAAGATCCTCCATCATGAACTTGCGCCGATTACAAAGATCCTCGTGAGTTCAACGTAAGGCTCGATGAACCGTACGCACTATCTGCTGATATGGAGATGCATGTACTTGAGGATCAGTACTTGCAACGTACTTGCAACAGGAAGTGCTATACCCTCATTTGCAATGAGCTCAATATCATCTACAACTTATATTTGCAATTAAGTCAAAAAAAAGCACATATAAGCAAATTCTATATTTATATAAAGGGGGAAAAGTAGATGAGACTATTAATCCCATATTGTTTGGCCAAAAATTGAAAAACCACCTGGAAAAGGAACGAGACTACTAGTTCTATGTATTGTTCTGTAAGGGACCTGAGGCTCTGTTAAGGACATGGGAGATGGGACTACTAGTCCCACTCATTTTAACATTACGATTAAGTTGTAATTAGTGAGCACCTATGTTATGTAGGTACTTCTATGTGAGGGTCATACCGGACACTCATACCCGTATCCAAACTCCTTGGACACTTCTTGCATATATACATACATTTATACGAGCATCTACTCAGTTATACAGTACATGTTTTAATTTAAAACCCTTGTCATACATTTTTTGAACATACATATCCTTCACATCCACTTCGTGAAACCTGTTGAACATAAATCAGATTCCGAGCTATGATTTTAAAGAGTCGTTTGGATGTCCAGTTCAAAAACTAGAGATTTCATAATTGACATAACAAAAGATAGATAAAGTTGATATGGATTTTAATTCTCATAACACGTGAATGAAAACGATATTGATCCAATGAAAATTATTAATTCCAATAAATAGTATGTATATGTGTATATAAATATTTATATAGGTGTATCCCCATACCATACCTTTTACAATTTTTCTGTGTCTTGTACCCGTATCCGTACCCATACTGGTACCTGTACCCGTGCAACACAGGTGAGCACTAATTATACGAGACTAGTATTCTTGTGTTTTTTAAAGTCTATATTTTGTAAAATCTACTACGTTTCAGCTAGCTATACCGACATGGCTGAAAAGTGGTTGATTTTGCTAATTCAATAAATTTTTTGATCAATGTTTCTAACAAAATTTGAAAAACAGTCTATTACAAAAATTTCTCCTACATCTAGTGCTGAACTCACATTATAATCGAATCTGAAATTAATATGGTTTTGCCTCTCATAAATGAAACTGATGAATGGGCAGTATATTCATATGTGTGCTTCTACTTAAGCGAGCTAATTCACATCCTTTGTATTTTTAGTGGCAAATATGTAGGTAGTCTGTAATTGTTTGGCTATTAATAAGTAGCAAGTGGAAGCCTTTGGTTGTAGATTTGCAGAAGAAAAGTTGAAAACAAAGTATGCTGCCAAATTTTCTCGAAGTCAAAAATAAAGACATGCATTTTTGCTTGTTACATGTTTTTTGTCATTGCTATTTAAATGTTGGCCTGGATTGGGTGGATTTGTGTGTGTGAATGTGTGCTTGTGGTTTATGTATTTGAGATTGTGCCATCAAGTCATAGCAATTGACTATTCAATTCTTATATCCCATGAAAGTTCCATATCAATCTTATAACTTTTAAGTTATCATGAAAATCAGTTTAGGAGATCCATAGGTCTTGGGCATTTCAATACTAAGAATTTTTCTCTTTGGAGGCGTAATGATTTACGCATACCTAACAAGTTTTTTTATTTTATTTTGGTGGGGTTTAGGGTGGGTGGTTATTGGTTGTGGATCTATAACCTGTTAGAGTAAGCTTTTTCTTATGATTTTCCTGTCTGCTTTCATCCAAATTGAATGTTCTCATCTCAAATTTCAAATTTGATTCACCTTGATACTAATTGATCGAGTAGCTTTATAGGTACTCTAAGATATGCTAGTCTTCTTTGATTTCTCTATACACTTTGGATCAATTCCTTTATTTGTATCTTTGCCTGTGCACTGAACAATAAGAAATTATAACCTTTAAAGATAAATTGAATAAAATATATTTTATTCATACCAAATGTTGCATATATAACTTTATCAAGAAGATATCCTAATAATGTTTGTGGCTGTTAGGTTCATCTTATGGTAATCATTGTTGCATTGCGTTTACAGCATAATGAGAATAAATAACCTTAATTTGTATCTATTAGGCCTGCAGTATCAATATTGCATATTAATGTATCAATTCTACTTCCACAAGATCTATTTAAATCTAGGGTTAATTGCAATTTGCGAACACACCCCTTGTACTATCACTGAGTTGCACTTATTTCCCATGTAGTATTGTTTGTTGCATTTACAACCCTTGGGAGCCAAACTCCATCCCAAATTACAAAATTAGCCCCAAGTGAACGTCTTCCCTTATCCCAAAAATCAAAATTTAACTTCTGTCGTTTATATTTCACCCATTCTCATCTATTCTCCCCCATCTCAAGGATGCAAACACCAGCATCGAAATTGTTCACCGAAGTCGATAGTAAGACAAAAGACTGACTCCATACAAAAGACTGACTCCATGGTTCTTGCTAGTTGCTACAAATAAAACTAAAAAACCACAAAAAAACCCCACCCAAATTCAATTGGCATTTATGCTGCATTACATTTAGAAGATTGATTCTCCATTTGTTTGCATTTTCTTCTCCAAAAATCAGTTAGAAACATAGTAGAGGTTGTTGTAATGATAAACTAGATATCTTCCTTTTGTTTGCACCAATTGATGGGAAATATGGTATAACTGAAAAAAAAAAGAGAAAAACAATGAGAGAGACATTAAATTGAGACCTAATTCTCGTATCTCACTCCTCTATGCCGATTCAAATGGAACTCAAACAGGCTTCAATGGTGTCTTCCTAACAGAACAAAGAGCAAAAACAAAAGCAAATGAGTTAGAAATGTGTCCAACCCATCCAGAGGGCATTTTGGGCGTTATAAAAGTAGGGCGTCTCACATTTAATATAGGTTAGAAGGAGTTTGGTTCCTAGGCGGTGTAAGTGCAGCAAACAATACTACAGGGGTAGTAAGTGCAACTCAGTGATACTACAAGGGGTGTGTTCGCAATTAACCCTTAAATCTAAGCCTATATGACACCAAGTTTTATGTAAATCTAAGCCTATATGACACCAAGTTTTATGTGTCATGTTTTCCATTAGTTGCTCACTGGAAGCTGGATTCTCCTATCAATCTCGCTCATTATCATGAATGTTGTTCACATGGGCAGAGAAATTATCATGCACTGCCTTCTGTATATCATTTTCACACCATGTTTGCCATTAGTTGCTCATGGAATTCATGGATTGTCCAGACTCCAGTCAACCCTGCCCACTGTTATGATTGTTATTCACATGGCAGACAGATCTTTGAAGCATTACCCTTTGTATAGAACCTTACGTCTCGTTTGTTACGTGGGAATCGAGTCAAGTGAGAATGGAATGGATTAAGTAGGGAATAGAATGCTCATTCCTGTCTCTTAGGTTTCGGTGCGATTAGAGAATGAAGTGGGAATGCCAATCTTTTTTTATTGGTATGGGTAATTAATAAACAATCAAGATATCCTGTGAATTTCGTAAATTTGAGAGCGACATCCTGTTATATACTGTGTAAGACAAACAAGGACTTCCTTATTAAATGGGAGAGCACTCATGAGAGAGTTTCAGTTATCTACATTAGATGAAGAAATAATCTTGAGAGGAAAACTCACTTTAGCTTTGTCCTTTCATCTGAATGGTCGCTTTAATAGTCCACTTGATAGAGTTACTTTGAATTACTGTTTGAAGCAACAAACTAGTGAGTGCAAAAGAGAAACACGTGTCCTCTGACATATAGCTCATAGTGTGCTCCTCCTTTTGTGTAACTAATATGCTGACCTGGTGCGATTAGAGAATGAAGCGGGAATGACAATCTTTTCTTATCATTGGTATGGGTAATTAATAAACAATCAAGACATCCTGTGAATTTCGTAACTTTGAGAGAGACATCCTGTTATCTACTGTGCAAGTCAAACGACGACTTCCAGAATCAATATAAATGGGAGAGCACTCAAGAGAGAGTTTCATTTATCTATATTAGATGAAGAAATAATCTTGAGGAAAACTCACTTTAGCTATGCCCTTTCCATCTGAATGGTCGCTGTAATAGTCCACTTGATACAGTTACCTTGGATTACTGTTTGAAGCAACAAACTAGTGAGTGCAAAAGAGGAACAGACGTGTCCTCTGACATATAGTTCATAGTGTGCTCCTCCTTTTCTGTAACTAATATGTTAACCTGGTTACTGTTTTGTTTTACCAGGTTAAGGGCCCAACTGGAGATCAGATTTATGATGCTCGGGATAAGACAAGTGATAAGTTTGAATTTGTAGTTCAAAAGAAAGGGATTCACCGTTTCTGCTTCAGCAAAAAATCTCCTTACCATGAAACCATCGACTTTGATGTACACATTGGTCACTTTCCCTACTATGATGAGCATGCCAAAGATGGTAAATGTTGTTTTTTTATTTATAGTACACAAAAATTGGGAAACAGAAACTTTGACTGATCTTGAATTCTTGCAGAGCATTTAAACCCTTTGCTGGAACAAATTGGAAAGTTAGAAGAAGCCCTTTACAACATACAGTTTGAGCAACATTGGCTGGAGGCTCAGACGGATCGCCAAGCACTTGGTATGTTCCTTAAACTTATGCCACTGACAACAATAGAAATGATTTCCTTCTTGTTATGGTCCTCATGAACATAATTTGTCAATAGAGGCTAACTTAACCAAAGGCATGAACTATCATAAGAGCAGCTTTATGAAATGATTGAACCAACTGAGATCATTCATCACTAGTATGGGGAAATATTTTCAGTCTAACTTTGAATGATTTTTCTTTTAAGCCGCTTACCTTTTCAACTGAAATATGATTTTTTTTTATTTTTAAATTTCTTATAGGCCTCTGTGTTTTTTACTTTGTTACCTCTATATAGTATTTACTTAATATTTTGAACTATTAGCTTACTCTTTGTGGTTTATATAAGAAAAAGTGAGCTTTAGAAAGAAAGAAAAAAGAGGAAGGATAGTATAGTAATTACAAGTTAAGCCGAAACTAGATATATATAAGTGCCCCGAAAAGTTCTGACAGAAAGTTGTAACATTTCATTTGAAAAGTAAGTGTGTTTAAAAGAAAATAATTCAGAACTCAAGGGCATAAATATGATACCCATTATTGTAATATTGTTATTGGCATTTTGGCATTCTGGCCAGCTAGAACCTGTCCTGGGTCATTTCAGGTTTAGTTTTTGTGGTAAGCTCATAGGTTGTGAAATTATAACGTTCAAACATCAACTTTTAGATGTCGCAAAGTAAAACAGAGCTAATGACATTTGATATTTATTTTGCTTATCATCTTCCATAGATTTGTAGTATTGTAGTATTTACTGGAGGTGTATGCATAGTATACTACAGAAAAAAAATCATGAATTTTTGTATCTTGGAGGTGAAATAGAGCTAATTTTAACAATGCATTAAAAGTGAAGATACCATTAATCTAAACCATCAGATCTTGGTTTCTTTTACGGTCGGGTACAACAACTGTGAACTGGTTTAGATTACTACAATGAACTCTTGCCTCTGGTTGATGCATCGGGCTGAATTCTTTGAGTATTTTGCCTTTGTGGCCTGTATTATTCATGTACTTGTATTCTGTATGATGTTGATACAGTGAACGAGGGTATGAGCAGGAGAGCAATCCACAAGGCAATATTTGAATCAGCTGCACTTGTAGGAGCAAGCATTCTTCAAATTTTCCTCCTGCAACGTCTCTTTGAGAGAAAACTAGGCACCTCTCGAGTTTAGGTCTTTTTTTTTTGGCAATTACTGTGTAAATTTACAGGTTAATGTAAGGGGTTGGTAATTGCGATTACATGTAGATTACTCGGAAATGAGCATTATTCCTTGTGGATGTTCTGAAATTTTGAAATTACTGTGGTCATCACTTTGGCTTCATTCCGCTGATGCACATAGGAGAGAGTCATTTGATTTACTTGGTTTTCTCTTGCAATTTTATATATTTTAGGTCGTAACAGATTTGAAAATTTAATTTCCTCTGGTTCTTTTGTTGATGAAAGCATGCTCTTAGCAGCTGTATCCATTGAATCTTATAAGATCTTTTATTGCCCTGTAGCATATGGATGCCAAGGGTCCCTTTTGTTTATCAGTTTAAATATTTACATGTTTATTTTGAGTTTATTTTTTTGGCCAAATGCATTTGAGTGGATTCTCGTCCGCTCAGACTAACTTTTGAAGTGATTGCAGTTGGATTCAAACAATTTAACCAATAAATCCAAACAATTGCCCTACAACCTACATTTCTCGAAGTTTTTCGGATTGCGAATCCCGTTGATTAGCAATTTGAACAGGAGAAGCAAGCTGAGAGCATCGAGATTAAGATTCTCATATACCAGACAGAAGTTTATTTGACATTATTAAGGAGATGCTATGTTCGCAGCATACATTCATCGAAGTAGGGTACTGTTGGTGTACCAGGCTACGCAACAATTCGAAAGAGTGACGTGGATAATGTCAAAATACAACACGTTAATAGCTAGACAACAAGGTTAGAAGATTAATTGCTACAGAAGTTAACCTCGTGACTGCATGTTTTGGTCGCGTGCTTGGAAAAATCATGCGCATTTAACCACGTACGTGATGTCAACTATAAAATGTTGGAGTTCAGCGATTATTTAATCAATGCTAATCAAACCCCTTCTTTCTTTTCCAAAATTCATCAGTAAACAACGTATGTTTTTAACATTTCCTTTCTTATATCAGAGGAACCAAAATTTGCAATGGATATGTTCCCACTTGCGAAGACTGTCGTAGGAGATGAAGCGGAAAATGGGTTTGAGTTGGGGTTTTACTAAACAGATTCGGAGAACTTAACATGTATAGGTTAAAGTGGTTAATGGGTTTGATTTGTGTGAGAAGGGTGTAACAAGCAAATCACTGAAAAAATTAAAGTAAACAGAATATTCTCCATTTCAATCAGATTTTAGCTAGGGTGCCTCATTTCAATATAGTAACAGGATTTGGGGGCCTGAGATCAATTTTAAATATGTGAGGTTATTTATGTATGAATTATGAAAGGCAAGCTTTAGAACTATAATCTCTAGAAATGAAATTTTAGTTCCAGAAATTCTATGCATGTTCGCTTACAATGTGTAGTAAGTACGATATTAAAAAAAAAGTTCTATGTCACGAGAATCTGGCGGTCGACCGCGAACGTGCACAGGAGCTTAGGAGGAGCTGGATCCGAAGGCGGTCGACCGCGTCAACCCTGTAATCGATTTAAGTCTCTGTCGTTTGATACGACCGACCGCGACTGGTGTGCGGTTGACCGCGATACGGGGGCGGCCGCCCGCCACGGTCGACCGTGACGCAGTTTGACAGTTTGCTAAACTGTTTTGGATTCTGTTTCTACTGGGACTCTATATATACCTTAAATGTTTTTAGGGTTTATACAACACGAAAAAAGGAGAGTTTTTGACTGCAGAAAGAGAGAGAATCTCAGAGAGATTAAATCCTAGTTTGAGAGCTTGTATTTCTTCTTCAATTAATAAAAAAAAATTGTGGTGTGGCTCCCGAGGATGTAGGCACGTTGCCGAACCTCGTTAAATCTATGTGTTCGTCTCCTTTACTAGTTTTACAAGGTTAGATCTTTATTTGTGGTATTATTCCTACTTTCTTACTTTCAACACAAAGTCCGGAAGGGCAAGGGTTCGATTGATTGTTTCGAATCCCCAACATCCTCATCCTCTTCTATAATAGAACCAACCGGTTAATCAACTAAAACATGACCCGCCGCGCTATGGAACACATCATTTGACATTGCACCCGAGTCATTTTTAAGTACAAGGCACTTTGAGATAACGAGATTTGATTTTCAAGCATGCAGGAGAACTCTCCGTGAGCATATGAAACTTCGACAACCCCAGACATTGGAATATTTTCAATGAACAACTCGATTGAGATTTGTTTTTCCGTAAGTTGTATCATGTCATTCAATTCTTCATCATTGGTGATCTCTACAGCAATTGTTCTTTTTTTATTTATTGGACAATTACAGAAGATCTTAATGGTTTTTTCAGCATGATTAATTCTAGTAACTCTGTATATTTGCTCCATCATTCTATCGAAATTACAATTTCTAGATAACATGAAAAATTTTCTAGAGCCTCCATCATATATAGGCATATTATTCATTCCAATACTTAGTTTTCCATTGAATAAGTAAATAATCGGTATTTCATTCGTCATTTTAACTAAAGAATTAAAATTCATCATATACAAATTAGATTAGATTTTTTTCCATATTGATAATCATAATTAAAATATTTACTCTAGATATACAATATTAACTAAACAATATAAAGAAATTTATGAAAAAATAAGAAATTTATACATTGATGAAATTTTGGATCTTGTCGGCGTCGGAGAGAATAGACGGCATCGGATTTCAACAACGTAGGGTGATCTTTGGGGAAGATCTCAACTAGGTTTTGGGTGATCTTTGGGGAAGATTTCAATTAGGTTTTGGGAGGGAATGAGTTTAAAGAAATTTGAGGGAGGAAGAGGTGAGTTAGGTTTGGGGGAGAGAGAGAGAGGGAGATCGGGAGAGAGAGATCGTGAGAGTTGGAGAGAGTGAAAAGGGATGTGTCCTAATTTGAGGCACAGGTGGGCATTATATAGTCCGATAAATCTACGGGACTAGTAGTCCCGTAGATTTGGTAACCTGATAAATCTACGGAACTACTAGTCTCGTAGATTTGGTAGCCTGATAAATCTACGGAACTACTAGTCTCGTAGATTTGCTAGGCAGTTATTTTCTCTGCCCCAGCAAATCTACGGGAGTAGTAGTCTCGTGGTTTTGCTTGGCAGAGGAAACAAGTATCTGCTTAACGTACGGGACTACTAGCCCCGTACGTTTTTTGAATCCACTTATCCGCGATTAGTTCACTCAAAACATACAGGACTAGTAGTCCCGTATATTTTGAGAAGGTTGTTTTTTAAAATCGACCTCTTGTTGGTCAAAAAGAGATCGATTTTGCTAAATAATTATCAAAATAGTCTATTTTACTAATTATTTAGCAAAAAGTGTATTTTTTTTTAAATCCCTATTCTAAGACAAGGAGGGAAGACTAATCTTTCAGTCCAGATTGTGCATATCAACATTATCTTTCTTATTAGATTTTATTTCTTTACTCATTGTTTATATTTGTATCAAGGAAGGAGAGGGAGAGCACAAGGGAAATTTGATGAAAACTACAGTACCCGAAGAGAAGAAAAGGATTCGCAGCATGAAATCAGCTTGGGTTAGCACAAAGATGGCAATATTCCGGTGATTCATTCAAGTGGGTTACCCTGGCATAGCTCAGGTCTACTGTTTGCCATCTTGACATAATTGTAAACCATATTACTCTTTAACACAAGAATAGATATATTAAAATTAAATTTAAAGCTCCAATGATTACAGACAAATTAAGAAAACGGCAATAAGCAAAGGATTCGGATCCTCTCCACTACAAAAAAACAGTGAAGGGACCACTACATAATCACGGCCACTGATTATCTAATTAATGGTTGTGATTTTTTCTTTTAGTGTAAATTAGGAATGAGTGCAATACACGGGGGTATTAATGGTTGTGATTTTTTCTTTTAGTGTAAATTAGGAATGAGTGCAATACACGGGGGTATGGTAAGTATTAGATTTAGATTGTATCATAACCGCCTACGTAAGTATTAGATTTAGATTGTATCATAACCGCCTACTAAATAATCAACGATTGAGATTAAAAGCAGTGATCACTCCACTACTTTTTTGTAGTGGAGAGGATCCAAATCCATAAGCAAAGCAACTTCGCCCTATACCTACTATCCATGAGTATATATATTCATGTACACAATATAGAGTGAGAAAGCAGTCACTTCCCCTTCGTCATCCTCCCACCATATTCTCTGCGTCTCCCTTTCCCTCACTGCACACACCGTCATCGACACAAACAAAGGAAAACATGGCCCAACATTCTGCCAAAGCTTCTGCGAGCAGGGCACATGCTTTTTCCCCCCCTCAAAATAAAATTAAATGCCACAAATATTACTTCTTAAAGATGATTTCCTGATAACCCTTAGGATTCTGCTCCACTTGCCTGCACGCAGCAAAACCATTTTTTCTGCACATTTGCAATAAATATCACATTAAAACTATGAGAGTTCATGATAGAAACTGAAAAACCGAAGGTTCTACATTAAACCACAGTTCCAAAGCTTCATTTATGTGCGCGCGCTATGACTGAAAGAGAAAGAAGGGGAGGGGGGGCGGGGAGCTCACAGAATTCGACTTGGTAGAGTATGGGCCATGTTTAAAGCTACTTCCATCCTTTGCTGGAGAATCTGGCATTGGGGTACTCCCGCCTGTCTTCTTTTCATCTCTGGCTTTGTTGAAAATTACAGTAAATCCCTCAGCAGAAGCGGGATCATTGACATCCCATTCTCCAAACTTTGGCAACGGCCGATCCTTCTCCATCTGGCATAATTCACAGTATCAGGAGAGAAAAATGGCATGAGCACAAAAATGAGCTTCCCATCTTAACACGAGTAGGCTAAAAATTATAAAATAAGAAGCCAAAGAATTTTGTAGGCTGCTACATTAATCAATTCCCAAAAACAGTAACAGCCAAGACAAAAACACATACCTTGTTGCCTGTACTCTAATGGGGAAATAAATAGCATACCTCATTCCCATCTTAACACGAGTAGGCTAAAAATTATAAAATAAGAAGCCAAAGAATTTTGTAGGCTGCTACATTAATCAATTCCCAAAAACAGTAACAGCCAAGACAAAAACACATACCTTGTTGCCTGTACTCTAATGGGGAAATAAATAGCATACCTCATGGACTATTCCCATCTTAACACGAGTAGGCTAAAAATTATAAAATAAGAAGCCAAAGAATTTTGTAGGCTGCTACATTAATCAATTCCCAAAAACAGTAACAGCCAAGACAAAAACACATACCTTGTTGCCTGTACTCTAATGGGGAAATAAATAGCATACCTCATGGACTA